GGTGGCGAAGGAGCATTCGCCCCCACATCACTCGTATTTTTTCTATATATAATACATTGATTTAATTAAAACAACTTCCGTTTGATAAATATCGTATCTATCGTTACTATTTACATGCTAATATTGACCTAAAATATATTTGTGTATAGATTGAAAACATGGTACGTTCCAGAATAGGCCAAAATCGCTAACAGGTTTGGCTTTGCTGCATGTTCACAGCTTCACAGGCATATTGTTATATCAGTTGATGATATAATCGACAAATTTTCTAAAATGAAGAAAAGGAAAACTGAATTTATTTCTTAGGTATTTGAGAATTTCAGTATTTGACTACCTACCAACCTTATTATGTTGGTATAATTGGTATATATTATATACATATATATATAAAATCAATATTTAATAATTAAATCTGGTAATCATATTTTTATTTATTTACATGAAAAAAGAAAAATTAGTTCCCCCATGGTCTTGACTCAAATACGCCCTTGCAGTAAAATAAAAGTTTTGGGGGATCTATCCCTCTCATCCCCCTTAATTACACCCCTGATGTATGCAATATAAATATATTATAACATAAATAACAATATCAATATGAACTATTTATGAGAATTCTTGTTATACATTTTCAATTCTTTACTATGATTATTGATTACATTATTAACTCTTTAAATTTTGAAAAATCCTTTCCTATAGGGCACGGTGAAATTATAGCATTAATCTAGACGAAAACTCTAATAAGTAATAGGTTCAGCTCTGCGTTGATTATGATTATTATGAATCAGGAAGACCATTTCGTAGTTTTGTTTATACCTATATAATAATTAATAATATAGATAATATTGTAGTATAGATATTCATTGATTATATATGTGTATTTAATATGTATGCATAGTAAGCTTACTTTTTTTTTAAATTAATTTTTATACTGGTATGAAATGAAAAAAATTATCAAAATAAATTTTTGGAACAGAACCTGTAGCTATAAAATGTTTGCATTTTTATCCSCTTTTAACCCTTTTARTAGTTGAATGTTGAATTTTGAGATAAAGTTTATTGACAATGTTRATTTGTGTTATAGAATGCGTATACTTAATTTTTTTTTWAAAYGGAACATAAAAAGCGTTTAAATTTTTACCCCTTTTAATACCCTYAAGGGTTAAATTTTCAAAAATACCTTAACGGATACCTTACCTTACCTAACGGATGCCTAAGTCATAATAGCTATCTGTATTCTGTATACCAAATTTCAGCCCGATCCGTCCWATGGTTTGAACTCTGAGTCKATGACATATAATATCATTAAGTTAGCAGTAAGTTGTATAATATTTATATCGTGATTATTGTATATTGTTTTATCCAACAAAATTCACTGGTAACAGCAACGCCATCTTGGKGTATCCTTATGTTTCCAAGAACCACATTGCACAGTCTACGCACACCACTTACAATAGATTTTCGTCGCTAGATGACACTGTCGTATACGAATCTAGTTTTTTATTTTCAGATAACCGACTTAAAAGTTCCGAACTAGCCGATGCCCGATACTGATGGTGCGATACCGTTAGTCAATTAGTCAATAGTCATTACTCATTACCTACTTCATTAGTTATTAACGAAATAAATATTAGTTTTAATAATTATTTATATTTTTAAATTATATTACATTATTCTTAAACCAATCATATTTTATTCAATAATTAATATATACATCATTAATATTAATACCTATTGGCTAACCTACCTATTGGCTATTATCAATTTTAAATTATATATTTTATAGTTATTCATAAATAAAAATATTGTTTTATAAAATAAAAATAAAATCAAACTTTTCTTCCGTTTATTAGTTATGTGGTCRGACTTTTTTCTTGGATTTTTTTCCTACTCTCTTTGAATATACCTATAGGTACTTTTGAAAAGGAGCAGTTCATTAAAATTTTGCGTGAATGTATGATCCCACGATAAAAAACAAACATACTTATGTAGTTAAGGTAGTTAAAGTAGTTAAAGTAGAAAAAGGTTTTTGAAGCTTAACTTATTTTAAAAATAAATATAGAAACAAATTTAACGCTTATGATGATTTAAGAATGTATTTTACCAAGTTAGAACCCAATATTGATCAACTGTGTAAATAGAAACAAGCTCACCCTTTTCACCAATTTCTTTAAAAGTAGGGGCTTTTTGTTTTTAAAATTTTAAATACATTAGTTTTTAACGCAATATAAATGTATGTGAACAATATCTCTTTGCTTTTATTTAAATATGGCATGTAATTAAGTAAAAAAGGTAAAAACTTTAATAAAAAATAGAAGYYTTTAAGAACTTTTTATATGTTTTAATCARTGAACTAAATTTAGTTCAATGATTTTAATTCAACAACTGAGAAGAGGGATCTAAAAATTGTATTGGTAGAACGGGGTACAGTGTTTATAAAAGTTTGAGAACTCATGAACAAATTAACCCAACTTAACACAAATGTACTATATGTACATACCAATCAAATAATGTGCCAGTGAACAGTATTTTCTTAATTACATCGTATGATAATTATTATGTAATGATTTAATATTCATATTTCCTGCACCATGTGACATTAAGGCGGTTCAAAGTCTTATAATTGGAAATAAATACCTATTTCTACTTGTTGATTTTAATCAATGTTGTATCGAATTGTATACCATAAGCATAACTTATAATCATACATTTATAAATGTATGATTAATGTYATAAATTACACTAACACGAGGCGAGAAAAATCAATACGAATAATAGCTTTTAGCTATGTACCTAAACCTAATACCGGTCACTGTAAGTCTGTAACGGTCTTTAAATAAATCCCAATTATCAATTTTTTATATTTTCTGAATGATAGTCATATCTCAATAATAATAAAATAAAATAATATGATAGGTAATAATGTACCTATTATAATGTTCCTAGCTTTCGAGGTACTACTATTATTATTTATTTTATAATAAGTACCTATTATAACATATATTGTTTATTTGTATATATTTAAATTAATTTAACTTAGTGTTAAATATTAATGCCTGTCACGCTCACAAAAATATATTAAATATTGTGTTAGTAACAAATAACAATGTCTGTACATTTAATAATGCTGTGTTTGTAAATTTGTTACATTTTAAATTTAAAATATCAATACATATCCAAAAATTGGTTACATATTACATTTAGTCATAGAAAAGAGATTAATTAGTACAAAATAGTCTGTTGCATTCTAAGCATACCAACATAATAATTTTTACACTAGATATTTTTTTTAACCAGATTTTTTTCCGCAATAAATTCATCTGAACCTAACTACTATAATATTTYATATTGCCTATAGTAAATGCCCATAGCCGACTTTTGGGGATTCGTTAAAATGTAAATTTKTTATATATTAATATCACCACACACACACAGACAAAATTATGAAGATGTGTTGATCGAATGTTTTTTTAGGGTGTCAGAATCAACTATCATAGAACACAAATTCGGCTAATTTTTAAGTTGATAATTTGAGGTGGCTGAAAGCAGTGGCTAACTTAACCTAACATACGGAAAGAATAAAATCAAACCATTTTAAACGATCAAAAATGACATTAGATACCGGAAAAACATTCACACCTCGTGGCTTGTAGAATGCTAGAATAGTCTAATTTCCGTGATTTTTTTTTAACTAGAAATAGTAAAACTTTATTCAAACTRTAATACCGTATTAATACATTTCAAAATCATATTCACAACAATTTGTTAATATTTAGAGTAGGCATTTTGCATTTATAACAACTTCTGAAAAAAAAAGAGTTTTTTAAATTAGAACGACGGAGTGAATGTGATCTGTATATAAAGTCATCATCTCTCAAAGAAAATATGATAAAAATCTGACTTATTTCACGATACGATTTTTTCATATGAAGCAATCTACTAAAGAGTAAAAACAAGACACTCCGACTGCCTGATAATTTTTTTTTACTGTGAATTTTATCTTGATTCGATGACTATGCAATAAAAATTAACCATAAATAAATTTATTATTCATGACTATATTTAGTTGTATGAATATTGAATACGAATGATCATAGTAGATTTGTAACTATTATTTTTCAATTCTATGTCATGAAATATTTCTGGATTGTTATTTGTTATTATTACTGATATACAGCCACTTTATCGATTTATGGATTTATCTATGATTTTWAAATATCGAACATCGAAGTCAAGTCTCCGAAACCTCGTAAATAACAAWWMA